GACTGCTGGTCCATCCCCAGGCTTCACACCTAGGCTGTAGAGTAACTGCTGGTCCATCATCCCTTCTGGAACTCAGCACATCATCTGCTCCTCCTTAGAAAGTGAGACACTTTCTAAGCCGCATTCCCTGCCTTAGCCTCGGGGTGAGTGAGGAGAAGGCCGCTCTGACCCCTTACATTTCAGCTGTATTGCTTCTCAACCTCGGCTTTATGCCCTGGCTTTCTTTCTGCACTTGCAAACCCTGTGCTTTTAATGGCAACTCTGACTCTGAAGAATACTGCTTTAAGTTACCCTCTGACCTCCATGCACACGCACACATGTACATGTTTGTGTGCATGCACATGTGCACCTACACACAAGCCATGTGGACAATGTAATTTGTTTTTATAAAACCAAGTGTACTGGGCCAGAATGATGGCTTAGCTGCCACCAAGGTTGATGACCTGAGTGTCCCTGGAGCCCACATAGTAGAAAGAGAAAACTGACACCCACAAGTTATCCTCTGACCCACACATGTACGTTGTGATGTGTAACTCCCTCACACAGACAAAATAATTTTAAACATAATAAAATATAAATTTTTAGAAGGAAACACAAACAGAATAAATCATTTTAAAGGTATTGTTTGTATTTTCCTACTTTCTCAATTTTGCATATTACTATAAGTAAAAAGTAATAAGAAAAAAATGTACTTTTAATTCCTCTTTTTGTTTTGCATTTTAAATGCAGTGGCCTCAAACTCACCATCCTCCTGCCCAAGACTCTTGAATGCTGATACTACTACCATTGTATGCCATTCCCCTAATGAGAGCTGCTTTTAAAAGTGGCAAAAGTGGGTTGTGGGTATATCTCAATCAGCAAGCATTTGCTCGAACATGTGAGGCCCTGAGTTCCATCCATGGCACTGTAAAATATGTAGATAGACAGACAGACAGACAGACAGACAGACAGACAGACAGTAAGATAGGATAAGATGAAGAAAACTAATTTTCAAACCCAAGTCAGGGAGCCAGTGCTTGGAGGAAAACCATCCCTCGAGTGAAGTGTTTGGTTCCTCTAATTGTGTGAACAGAGGGTCTAGAAATGGGGGCTGGAGTCTTTATGTCCCTCACTTTCTTTCTTCCCAGCACCCCAGCTCCTACGTCTACCCATTTCCACTAGGAATGAGAGTTTGATGGCTGAGAAAGTAGCCTGGCTGTGGGGAGGCACCAAATCCTGGAGCAAAATGGACCCAAGTCCTTTGTTCCTCTGAGGCCCACAAGGCTCAGTAATTTGGGCCTAGTGTTCCAGGCACTGTGCTGTTTCCCACTTCCTGCTGGAGGGAAGGACCATTTCACTACCACAAGGCTGATTAAGCTTAGCCACAGGGCTAGGATCACAGCAATCCCCAGAACCCAGGACCCCTAGAGACTCACATATGAGTAACAGCAATGGCATTATACCTCGTGGTTGTGATGATGAAAGGGGCAGGTGATTCTCTAGACAGAGCTGCTCCCACCACAAGACCTTACAGAGTAATCTTAACAAGGTCCTGAACTCACAGTGCTTTAAAGTCCCCTTGAGACACTCAAGCAACCCTCAGCTTTACTTCTCATGAATCAGGAGACCATCAAGAACGTCCAAACACATCAGCCAAGGGCAAATGTGTTTCCATAGCAACTGGAAGCTAGGGAAACCATTTCCTGTAGGCTGGGGTCTAGGTGACTTGGGAGTTATCCCTGGCAGCCTAACTCCATCAGTGTTTGGAGACACACGTTCAGGGTGTCCTGGTGGGTATGGGAGGCTGTTTGGTCCCTTCCAGGTGTGATGACCAACACTGAATCTTCCTACTCCCAGACAGCTGGAAGGAAGGTTTGCTGAAACTCATCAGTCCCGAGGAACTGCCTGCCCATTTTGGGGGGACTCTGACTGACCCAGATGGGAACCCCAAATGTTTAACCAAGGTACACAGAGCCTGGGGCCAGGAAGGGGTTGGAGGAGTATAGTTGGATTCCTTTCCTACCCACCCACCTATCATTTCACAAATATCTCCAGTTAGACCACTGGGTATAGAGTCTGGGTGTGTCCAGCTTATCGGGACTTGATAATGAGAAGATTGCAGAGAAAGATAAAATGGGAAGTTTTGATTTGGAATTAAGCTGAAAGAAGCTTCCAGAGGACACCCTAGTGGGAAGGGGAGTAGGAATCTTCCCAATAGCGATAGATGTGTGTCTTGCAAGAGAAATTTGAATCCAGAATCTATTACAGATCAACTATGGTGGGGAGATCCCCAAGTCCATGTATGTGCGTGACCAGGTGAAGACTCAGTATGAGCACTCAGTGCAGATTAGCCGTGGCTCCTCACATCAGGTGGAATATGAGATCCTGTTTCCAGGCTGTGTCCTCAGGTAGGAACAAATGACTCCTCCCACAGCTGGGCTCCAGCCCCCTCAGGAGCCCGTCACACTGAGCAGCAACCTGTCCTCTCCCAGGTGGCAGTTCTCCTCTGATGGTGCAGACATTGGCTTTGGAGTTTTTCTCAAGACCAAGATGGGGGAGAGGCAGAAGGCAGGGGAGATGACTGAGGTGCTAACCAGCCAGCGCTACAATGCCCACATGGTACCTGAGGATGGGAGCCTCACCTGCACGGAGGCTGGTGTCTGTAAGTCCACTCCAGCTGTGCACTGGCTCTGGAGACAGGAACCACCTTCCACATAGCATAAACGATTAACATGGGCAATGACCCCTTTTCCCAGACACATAGTCCAGTTTAGAGCTTTCATTCATTCTCAACTCATATTCATGAACACTTACTGTGCACCAACAGTCAGAGAGACACATGGACCCCGAGGAACTGAGGGTGCTTGGACCACAGGACACAGGCATAGGACAATAGGGCAGGTGGTGCTTTCTCCATGAGGTCATGAGAAGTAAGCCAACTTACATGCAGCCTCAAAGCTGAGTGTCATGCTACCCCAGCTCCATTATCAGGCTCAATGTAGTTGCACAGGTGCAAAACTGTGCCCAATCTGGGAAGGACCATTGTTTGGATCACCCATGGTCTCAGGATTAAAACCATTACCTCAGGCTTTGCCCAACACCTACTTTGTCCAAGAGGGCTAGGGAAGCTTCTGTTACTCTCAATAGATGCCTCCTCATGTGAGCATCCAGGTATGAAGAATATACCTGAATTAATATAATTAACATCCATTGTTCTCACTATCTGTTGATGGAACTAAAGCCAGGCTGGACGATTGTCAAGAGGAGGTAATTTCTGTTTATAGGCTCTGCTCAGGGTGACAGATCCCACAGGGAGGTAAAAGGCACAACAGGAATTACACCAGCTTAGCAAGCACAGCCAGTAGGAACTCAGTTTTCCTTTTGTCTCCTAGATGTCCTGCGCTTTGACAACACCTATAGCTTTGTCCATGCCAAGAAGGTCAGCTTCACGGTTGAAGTGCTTCTCCCAGATGAGGGCATGCAGAAGTATGATGAGGAGCTCACCCCTGTCTAGGTGGATTCCTCTACTTCTCGGAGACCCCAACTTTGTTTTCTCTTGTCTCTCCTTTCATTCCTAAAAACTGATCATTAGTCAGGCTTATTCTGTGATGCCAGTGAGCAGAGGAAGAGATTGCCCGGAGATTTATCTACTGTAATCAAACTTTAAAATTATGAAAAGTTGGGGGATATCAAGATTGCAGAAGAGAAAGAAGCATGAGGGGAAGACAGGAAATGGGTGTCACTGAGGCCCAAAACAGGAGATGGGCGTCATTGGGGCCCAAGAGTAGGGAAATGACTCTACTGACCTCATCTCTCCTAAGACATTTGTATTTGAGTCCTTGTGAGCTGTGAGCAGTTTGAGCCGGAGATTATCTGAATCATTTTTATTTCCATTCACTATATAGTAGATGCTTAGTGTATTTCTGTAAGTTAAACAGGGGACCAGAAGGCAGGAAGCACAAGACTCACAGAAGTGATTAAGAGACCAGACAGCAGATTTCAGCACCCTGGACAGATCCGCACTTGCACAAGACCCAGGCCATCGGACCTGACAATGGTTTCCTTTTGGGAAAGGAAAAATCTTCACACCTCGGGCAGGAGGCGCCCGCTTCTGACTTGGCCTGACCCAGGGGCACATTATTCTCATAATCACCCCCTTCCTTTTAAACTCACAGCTCATATTTTAAGACATTAAAATATTTTTTCCAGGGCTGGAGGGATGGCACTGGCTGCTCTTCCAGAGGTCCTAAGTTCAATTCCACATGGTGGCTCACAACCGTCTGTGATGGGATCTGATGCTCTCTTCTGGCATGCAGATGTACATGCAGACAGAGCACATAAAGAGAGAGAGAGAGAGAGAGAGAGAGAGAGAGAGAGAGAGAGAGAGAGA